TAGCAAACACCAAATAATATTTATATAATTTTTATTTGTTGTTTATTGGATAATTTGTTGATAGATATTGAAACAATGCAACATTCGACATGCGATGAATATTGATGCAATGTACCCTTATAGAAATATCATACTAAGAATCATTATATATATTAATTATATATAATTATACACAATTATGTATAACAATATGTATAATTACATATAAATTTATGCGTAATTATGTAAAATTGTATATGAATTTATATATATAATTATACATAATTATATATAATTATATATAATTATATATATAAGTAGAATGTATGAACATGAATAGACAAATTTGATACATAATTATATATAATTTTATATAATTATATATGAAACATTTTTCATTGGGTGAGTAGTCCGCAGAACATATTTGACATTTCACATACCTATTCTGTTGAATGCAATATAGTTATTTAAAAGTTATTAAAATATTTATAAATAATGAAAGGAAAATACATACATACCCACACAGCACATCTTTCAAAAAGCTTTCCGACAGATAACTTAAAATTATCTTGAAATATAACATTGAAATAATTCAGAAATATTTGTGAAACATTTCATCAAAATCTTTTTCACTGAAATATTTCAGAAATCGCTTATAATAAACGTTGATCTATATATTTATACATAAATTTAATTAATTTAATTTAATTTTATATGGTGACGTGGATTTTTTCTTTTTTTTCATTGTACTCTTTTATAATTACTCCAAGTTTATAGTCTTTTATGAGCTTATCTATTTCATAATAGTTAAGAATAAAAACATTTTACTATAAAAGTTTAAAGATAATAAAATGGATTGTGTAGGATTTTGTAAACCTTACTTCGTTATCTGATGATTAAATTAACAATAAAAGTACGAAAAATATTATTTTTATTAAAATTACATCATTTTATTATATCATATTATCCAAAAATTACATTACTGTGTTAATTACAACACATATAGACAAGATATAAGACGTTTATATCGATCGAAGAAGTGGTGTAGTGTCTAAAGCAACAGACTCATAACCCAGAGATGCCTCAGAGTTCCAAGTTCCGAGTCCCATCAGTGCTAGTGAGAATTTTTAAATGTGATGTAACATTGGAATACCAGTCTAAAATTTTCAAATAAAATCAGCAAACGCTGTGATATTTACGAATAGTTTCTGTATATTAAAAAAAGTATCTGAAATGTTTCCCATATATTTTTTAAACATTTCAGTAATGTTTAAGATACTTTTCAGATAGTATATCATAGTGGATATTTTATGTATCTTACAGTTTTATGTATATAAAACATGTCCGAAATATTTCTTTGAAATGTTTCATATTTCATTGAAAGCTTTTTGAAAGCTTTCTGAAATATGTTGGTATTATGTGGGTAATATTGAGAGGATAGTGAGAGGAATATACATACATAGTAATTAAAATCAATAAAAACGATAAAAATGTAATTAAAACGATAAAATAATATTATCTTCAAATAGAAGGAGGGGAGAGAGAGAGAGAGAGAGAGAGAGAGAGAGAGAGA